AGCCCGTCCGAGTGCGTTGGCCCACGCGGAGCCCGTCGGAGTGTCGTCTGGGCCTACACGGAACCCGTCCGAGTGTCACCTGCACCTACACGGAACCCGTCGGAGTCGTCTGGGCCTGCACGGAGCCCGTCCGAGTGTCGTCTGGGCCTGCACGGAGCCCGTCCGAGTGTCGTCTGTGCCTGCACGGAGCCCGTCCGAGTGTCGTCTGTGCCTACACGGAACCCGTCCGAGTGTCGTCTGGGCCTACACGGGGCCAGTCGGGGCCCAGCGCGGTCACGCGCGGCGGCCCTATGGACAAGTCCGGGCGTCCACTAGCGGGGGTCGGCCGTGGCGCCGTGCCGCGGCCGCCAGCGCCGCCCCTCCAACAATGCGCACGTGGCTCGAGCGGCGTTGGCGCTGGCCGACGGCGCATTAATTCCTTCCGGCCGGCTGGACGGCCGTGCACGGACCGGTGGCGCTCAAAGGGCGCCTGGCGCCGGCGGCCCGCGGCCCGGCGACCCCCGCGTCCGGAGGCCGGCCCCGCCGCCAGCTGGTGCCGTCCGACCGGTGGAACGGCGCGCGTCACCCCAGGGCACGCGGCCGGCGGGGGCGGCGCTCCGGGTCATACAGGCCGGCCCACCACGCGGGACGGCGGATACGACTGGAGCGCGGCTCCCGGCCCTGTGGTGACCCGCGGTGGATGACCCTCAGCGGTATGTACATGCTTGGGTCGGGCGGGTGGACGGTTGGGAGGGGGGGGGGGGGAAAGCTACTTCGCAAATGCCGCTGAAAACTACCAAATGCATCGCAACCCGCTACTGACCCACCACACACCATTCATCCCCCACCATCCAACAAACTGGTGGCTGGCCATGATCTTCACTGTAGACAAAGCCCCGAGACAGCCTGACAGTCAATGTCGCCCAGAGCCCCGGCCCGGCGTCACGCCGAGACCCTGGACAGCGCCGCCCGAGCAGACGACAGGTCGACAGCCGGACAGCGCGCCGGCGCCGGCCACAGGAGGGCCCTGCCAGCACGACTGCGGCGGGCCCCGGCCCGACGCCGCCCGAGGCGGGCGGCGAGACGACCAATCTCCGGTCAATTAGAGCCACACGGCGCAAACAGGGCCGCTGCCGGCGACCGGTCCGGCTCGGATTCATCAGGGAGACGGCGGCGGCGCACGCGACGCGCTGACCACGCCGCCAATGTCATCCGCAAGGCTGTCAAGTGACGACCGAATGGAGGGTGTCCGGGCGCGAGCCCACCTGCGCCATGAGACACGACACCGACGGGCCCGACACGGCCCAAAGGCGGCCGGTCCGACGGCGCGGCGAGCAGACGGTCGGCGGCCGGTCCGAGGGCGCAGCGAACACACACTGCCACCACAGCTCAGCGAGCTCGATAAGAGGAGTACACGGCCCAATGCACGACACACAGGTCCCAAGGCAGTCCGCGGCAGAGCCTGGACTGGACGTGTTTGTTTCTGAGAGCTGCTGCAGTGCCGGCCCGCCGACGGCCCGCGCTGTGCGTCACGCAGGGCGACGGTTGAGTCTGGTCCGTCCCCAGTCGGCCACTCCAGCCCGGGCCACGACCGCAGCCTGGCACAGCGCCGCACCATAATCACCGGCGGCGCACGTAACTCGAGCCGGACGAGTCGGCGGAGAGCGGCCGGCCTGCCGGGCGCGGCGGCGCGCCACCAGCTGGACGCCGGCCTCCCGACGGTCCCGGCCGTCCGGGAACCATCGGCAGGGCAGCCGACCAGCAGGCGGGCTGAGCACCACCGGCAGCACGAGGCGTGGATTAGGGGATCACAAGGAAACGAACGCCCGGCCCGCAGACGCTAGCGACCAGCCCAGCAGCTTGCCGGGACAGCAGGGCCCGTCATCGAGCGGTCACCGACCGGTCACCAAAGGGCCACCGGCGGGTCACCAGAGGGTCACCGGCCGGCCACCAGGGCGTCACCAGTTGGTACCTAGAGGGTCACCGACCGGTCACCAAAAGGACCACCGGCGGGTCACCAGAGGGTAACCGGCCGGCCACCAGAGCGTCACCAGTTGGTCACCAGAGGGACCACCGGCCGGCCACCTGGGCGCCACCAGTTGGTCACCAGAGCGTCACCGGCCGGCCACAGGGCGTCACCGCGGGCGACCGGCCCGCGGTCTGCGGGCGGCTCACACCACCCGTCGATGAGGCCGAGCCAGTCCATCTCGGCCAGATCGGTGGCCGGCAAAGGCCGACAAATGGGCCGCTCTGTCCACACGTCGGACCACAATCACTCGGCCAATATCCGCGCCTCGCACGCACGCATCACCGGCCGGACACGCTGGCCAGGCCCACCTCTCTGAATGGGCGGCGGCCCCCACACGCCAACTGGCGCCCGGGCTCAATACGTCTCGGCCGGCGGACGTGACTGGAGTGCGCCGTGACCAGCCGGCAACAACACCTGAGGCTCGGGGGGCAGCCAGGCCCGGCAGAGGAGTACGTCAACAGTCACCCCCCGAACTGGGCCAGCCGAGCGTCAGGCGTTCCCCCAGAACCGCGTCAACCGACCGTCAGTTGCCCCCTAACTGGGTCAGCCGAGCGTCAGTTACCCCCGAGCCGGATCAGCCGAGCGTCAGCTGCCTCCCGGCCGAGTCAGTCGAACGTCAGTTGCCCCCTGAACTGGGTCAGCCGAGGCGGCAGCTGTCTCCCGGCCGGATCAGCCGAACGTCAGCCGTTCCCCAGAACTGGGTCAGTCGAGCGTCAGCTATCCTCCCGGCCGGGTCAGCCAAGCGTCAGCATCGCTTTGTGAGCGTGGCAACCGCGCAGAGCCCAGCACGACTCCTTGTGGGGCGTGGGACGAGCTATGCAATCACAGGCATCAGGGTGTCGCATGCTATCTTGCAGGCAATTACAAAAAATAAGCCGATAGAGCAAACATCAGCAACCGATGCCAATGAGTTTGATTAATACGTTGGAAGGGCGGCATTTCAGGAGAATGTAACAGGCGGAGGTTTGCTGATGAGCAATTCGCAAGCCAATTCGAAAATACATTGCTCGAAAAATTGGCCGGCAATGAGACTCGCTAGGCACAAGTTTAATCGATGAAATCATTGAGGTGGCAATGATACACGGCTTTAGCAACTGTGAATAATACCTCGAGAAACTGCAAATGCTGTGGACGGACATTGGTAAAGCAGGCCACGGGCCCTTGTAACGTTCATGATCCAAGTCCTCTTTGTTTTCGTCGCAGCGTCCTGCACCCGACGTCGGTTTCGGACGAGTGACCATGGCCACCCTGCCGTCGCGCAGAGATACGCCCTTGGCTCGGACAGGTCGGAGTCACCCGTTAGTGAGCTGCAGCCGGCCACACCGTCTGCATCGTACAGTCTACTTCATCATGGCCTGGTCGCTGGGATCTGACATCAGACCCTTAAAAATGTCCGAGAATGGGCGGACGGACTCCTGGTCTGAGCACGAGAGGGCGTGATCGTCTGCACACAATGGCCCACATCGTCGCTCACGCGCTCGTCCGTGCTCCCCCTCCACCGACACCAGTCCCGTGCCGCTGCAACGCCCGGCCGCCCGGATCTGGAGCCAGCCTCGATCAAGCACATTCGCATTTTTGGCAATTAAACTTCGACCGTCCCCTGCTAATCGGACAGATCATATGTCACCACGAGGAAATTGCAGTGTTGCAAGTTCGTATGATCACACAACTTACTGTCATGCCCACAACGATCTATACAGCACAACTTTAAAAGTAAGGCACTATCTGCAGCCAAGACTTGCATGCACTTGTTATCAGTGTCTGCCAACATACTTGCCCCTACAAAGCGTGACTTCTGAGCTGTGCCGGGTCGGTCTAGTTCAAAACTGACTGATAATTCGAGTACCCCATTCAACCCGCGGCTTTACTCATCAACGCTGCGGTAAGAAAACGGCCAGGATGACTGACACCGGATACTACCCGAAACCGTTACACCCATTCCCGGGATTTTTTGTTGTTAACAAGTTGAATTAGAACAAATATCGAAGCCCAACAATATGCCAATGGATGGGCGGTTGGCAAAGTGAGATAACGAAGTCATGTTTCGCGTCATGTTTGCAGCGGAGGTGAAACACTCATTTGCCCTTCGATACAGATATACACAGGAATGCACAACTTCTCGAACGGCGTACAACTAGTGGCGGTGATGGTTCGGAGTTTTAGAACATGTCGACTGCAAATGATCATGCAGCGCCCAATCGAATTCAAGTACATGGCATGCTTCCAACCTAGCAATTTTGCGTGAGTAGCATGATTACTTGATTGCGGACATTTACAATGTTGATTGCGGCTCGACGGCGCACCGACAGCCGGCGTCATTGCTCCAGTCGAGCGCGCCGTATGGAATCACCAACAACAATGTTCTGAATCGGGGTTTAGCAAAACATCGGCATAACTACATTTAGGTCATTCCGGTAGCTTTAACTGGTTATCATTACCTGTGACCACCGGCTTTTATTCCCAACTGGATTTTAACGCAACAACTGGCGCACAAACTGGCAACGAAAACATGTTACGGCATCGCGTTCTTCGATTGATGCCCGTAGATGCGGAGGTACAATCACCTCACTATCCCGTGAGGTAAACCTCACAAGTACCTCACGATCCCGTGAGGTAAACCGCATCACTGGCGCCAGCGGCTGTCGCTGAGTACAGCTGTCAAACATCGGCCGGCGCCAGGTCGGGTCAGCCGTCATTCGGTCCGATCAGCCGTCCCTCGGGTCAGGTCAGACGTCCCCCGGATCGACTCAGCCGTCCCTCGGGTCAGGTCAGACGTCTCTAGGTCGGCCCAGCCATCCCCGGGTCAGGTCAGTCCGTCTCTCGGGTCAGGTCAGCCGTCTGTCGGATCGGGTCAGTCGTCCCCCGGCTCAGATCAGCCGTCCCTCGGGTCGGGTCAGCCGTCCCCCGAGTCAGGTCAGCCGTCTGTCGGATCGGGTCAGTCGTCCCCCGGCTCAGATCAGCCGTCCCTCGGGTCGGGTCAGCCGTCTCCCGGGTCAGGTCAGCCGCCCCTCGGGTCAGGTCAGCCGTCCCCCGAGTCAGGTCAGCCGTCTGTCGGATCGGGTCAGTCGTCCCCCGGCTCAGATCAGCCGTCCCTCGGGTCGGGTCAGCCGTCCCCCGAGTCAGGTCAGCCGTCCCCCGGCTCAGATCAGCCATCCCTCGGGTCGGGTTAGCCGTCCCTCGGGTCGGGTCAGCCGTCCCCCGAGTCAGGTCAGCCGTCCCCCAAGTCAGGTCAGCCGCCCCTCGGGTCAGGTCAGCCGCCCCTCGGGTCGGGTCAGCCGTCACTCGGGTCAGGTCAGCCGTCCCCTGGTCGGGTCAGCCGTCCCCAGGTCAGGTCAGCCGTCTCCCGGATCAGGTCAGCCGCCCCCACAAGCAGTCGGCGCCGCTCCACCGTCCGGCCCGGCGACAGAGGGCTCGCTCCATGGCGGGCGCAGCGGGAGGCCGCCGGCCCGGAGCGGCGCACCACGATCCCGTGACATGGAGATGAAAAGCGGCGGAGCGTTAGGGCTGAAATATCGAGAGCCCAACGCCGACAAAAGGAGAGGACGACATCCGGCGGCACCGCAGCCTTCCGCTGTGCGGAGATGGGAGCTCCAGCGGGAGATGGTGTCCCGCCGATAAATACGCCAGACGACGCCGACTGCAGAACTCGCCCACGACCTCTCACGGTCTCTCGGCGAAGTGATTATGTGCCTATGACGTGCCAGGGCCTCGGGGAGGGGTCGCGCCGCCTGAGCGAGAGCAGACGGTCACGGGCCGACAATGTCGCGTCGTCCATCGGTGCGGGGCGTCCTCGCAGGACATCCTTCCACTGCAGTCGCGCAGGCTAGAGCGTCGGGGTGAAATGCCTCAAGACGAACCGGGTAGACCGGGAGCGTAAAAGGAACTCGCTGATACACAAGACAGCTGTTAAAAACTCATTTCGCATGGCCTTTGCTAAACGTGGGGTTCGGCTGCAGCGTGACCAGACAGCGGCTGGAGAGCGCCCACATCATCAGGTGCGAACGGGCTCATCCCTCCGTTCAACCTCGGACGCCAACACGCCGCGTAATTACCTGTCCTTCGGCGAATGATGTCGCTGTTCGTAGAAGGGCAAGGGACGGCGAGCCAGCCGGCCTCATGAGCACACCACGCCTGGCGTCTGTGAGCTCAGGCGGCGGCGCAGGCACCAGGAAAACTTCACTCTTCCGCACAATACGCTTTGTCTATTTGCCTAACAGGTAAATTGACTAAGCCTGTTCTGCCAAACGTACTGAATCTGTCAAAGGCCGTTCTGCCACGGAGATTACCATTCGCATTGAATGTACAAGCAAACACCATTAGCATGCGTTTCTGTCTTCGCGACCGAGGCGATTGACAGCCTAACTCAGCCTGACCCACGTCTATTGCAACAGCAAATCAATATGCCTGCCCTGGAGAACAAAAACAAACTCTAATGCATAACCAGTGTCATCTTCCCTCGTTAGGGCGGACCTCCTCGTTGTTTACATAATGCTAAAATGAATAATGGCTTGCACACGCAAATATGCTGATATGCTTGACGGTTATCTACGGCACATATTACGTTTGTATTGTGATTATTGACGAACTGGAGCATCAATCATGACCTCGCTGGAACTTAACCACGTGAGCTATCGCCTCTGTGACCGAACTTCAAGACATCATCACCTCAGCCTTATGCTCTGAAAATGTCGTGTCTCTTACAATACCAGGAGCGGATACCCCGCGGCACGTCTCCCGGTGACGGTGGCGGTGGCGGTGGCGGTGGCGGTGACAGGGGAGGGAGGGGGGGGGGGGGGGGGGCGGGGAGGACTTCACCAAGACGTGCCATTCTGGCAGGCCCTCGAGGGCACGGGTCCACACGCCTGACACATCAGATGGCATGGTTTCAAAAAACCGAGGACAGGCTGCTCAGCCAAAAAGCACAATCCAGGATTAAATAGATACATCAATACTATAAACTGAAGTGAACAACGCTCCTAGTCCACCTGACATTCGTTCACAACACGGAGCATATATTACAAATGGCCATAGTCCCACGTTTTATTCCGCCGGGAAATATCACAGCCTGCGCTGCTTCTGCCCTGTGCCGCGCGTTTTTCGGCGCCGTTTCGCTACGGGTGACGGATGCGGGGTGTGTTTGCAGCGCAAATCACTCCCGAGAGAGGAGGCGACGGCCGGGGCCGGGCCGTCGGCCAGCCGCCTGCTGAGTCAGCTGACCATCAGCGGCCACCGCGCGCAGCACGCAACTCTCCCTCCAGTCCACACCGTGCAGCCGACACGATCGCTCCGGGACGACTGACTTGACCGTCACAGGGCGACTGATCCGGCCGTCGCAGGACGACTGACCTGACCGCCACAGGACAACTGAGCTGATCTTTGCAGGACGACTGATCTGGACGTCACAGGACGACTGAGCTGGACGTCACAGAACGACTGACCTGACCACCACGGGACGACTGACCTGACCGCCACAGGACGACTGACCTGACCGCCACAAGACGACTGACCTGACCGCCAAAGGACGCTATCCACGCGCGATTTTCCAAAGGCCTTTTAAGCTATCGACATAACCAAAAGAGAGTGGAAGAACTCGACCATGCTTTGAGCGAGGTATTTTCTCCGGCCCCCGACATCACGGGGCAGTGCTTCGCTACTACGTCCGCCGCAAGTTCTCTTTCTATTTCACGTTTCAGGGTTGGCCCTCGACTTCCGTTCATATCAAACGAGACATACCATCTTGTTGCAAACGATGCGACGAGAAACGCATCGCGACGAGAAGAAGTACGTATTGCGCTTTCCATCTGTAAATAACTGCATAAATCTACCTCTCTAGCGTTAAGATCAGCAAAGCATGTGATGCACAAGGAACGTACATCACCTGTGTCGGTAGTGCAGGGGCCAAGACGGGCGGGGATCCAGATAAAATTCGCTTGTTAGTTCCGACTTTTCCGTCCAAACCAGACAGGCATTGATGAATTGCGTAGCAGATCCAAACATAGGGCTGAGCATTACAACCACTGAATTTCTTGCCTGCGAAACAGGCCTTCCAGGATATATCTTCCACTGTCAAATAATCCTAGAGCTCTTGATCGGCCCGATAGCCCATTCGCCCATGGCGACATGGCCCGGCAGCCGCGACGCTAAGATCGGACTTCTCGATGGCTGGCCCCCAGAACTGCTCCACTGCATAATCGCTGCGGGAGCCCACGGCACCACGCCCCGAGACCACTGCCGCAGCCGGGCCAGATCACTGCCGCAGCCGGGCCAGACCACTGCCGCAGCCGGGACAGACCACTGCCGCAGCCGGGACAGACCACTGCTGCAGCCGGGCCAGACCACTGCCACGGCAGGGCCAGACCACTGCCGCAGCCAGGCCAGACCAGCCGCCCGAAACCACTGCCGCAGCCGGGTCAGACCGCTGCCGCAGCCGGGACAGACCACTGCTGCAGCCGGGATAGACCACTGCCCCAGCCGGGCCAGACCACTGCCGCAGCCGGGCCAGACCACTGCTACAGCCGGGCCAGACCACTGCCGCAGCCGGGACAGACCACTGCCGCAGCCAGGCCAGACCAGCCGCCCGAAACCACTGCCGCAGCCGGGTCAGACCACTGCCGCAGCCGGGACAGACCACTGCCGCATCCGCCACGGTTTCAACCGGCAGACGCCTTCTCCACAGGACGGCAGCCGGCCGCCGATGTGTGGGCACCGTTTTCCCAATGCGGGCCGCGGCCGGCGGCGTCGCTGCCGGCCGCCCCAGCCGCCGACCGCCCGGTAATGGACGGAGAGAGTCGGCTGAAAGGAGCCGCCAAAGTTGGCCGACGACGGCGGGCCGGCCGGCGCTCGAACGCTAGCCCGCCCGCCCGCCCCGACGCCACTCACCGTACGCCAGCATGCCCAGCATAAGCTTGTTCTTTATTTCGTAGAGGACGTCCAGTACGAAGTCGGCCTCGGCCAGCTCCTGCGTCACCAGGCGATGCAGGCAGCAGGCGGTGGTGTAGTACGTGTCCACAAGGGGAGCCACAATCGACTGCAGGTACAGCACGTGCTCCAGCGTGTCGGCCGTCAACTGCACCTGCCAGGCCACATAGCAGAAGGCACGCGGTTAGCTCGGGCTATAGTGCTAATCAACGCCACAGGGAACAGGCAGAATGCCAGTTTGTCCGTGTGCAATTTCGCTGCACCTTAGCAAGCTCCGCGTGGAACGGTCCAAGGAACAAGGTTTGCATGACAATTTAAGATTTGCGGAGTTCAACAGACGACCCATTACGCTAGATTTAAATGCACGACCGGCAGCCACTACGACCATCTTAAGCCACTGATAACAAATCACTTATACCATTACCAAGTATGGCTATCCGCCTATCTTCTACTCATCGCCTTCCTCCCTACGTGTCGCAACTTTCCCTGACTTCCACAAGGCACGCTTTCGACACAGCTCAATTTATCACATCTTTCCTTAAAGTCTCTAAATGTCTGAATAGGCTCCGGTCACTGTACCGACTGTCGGTTCAGCCTCTCTGGTGTCCAGAGTCAGGATAGCGGGCCACGCCCAACGGGTCGACCTGACGTAGATGCGGCAATTATAGCAGTGTGCGGGATGAGACAGAACCTTGGCAGCTCCATCTGCGCACAAAGGCCGGAGGCCGAATGGACCGTTCAAGTGTAAAAGCAGCTCCCTGAACGGTACAGTCATGGTGCACGAGAGAAACTGAGATATATTGCACTTCCCTCGCATCCAATACATACCGTCGAATGGCCAGGCTATAGGAAGGCCAGCTGTTCCACCAGTCAGCGGACCATAATGCACCTTTTCGGAAGGCTCGCGCGTCAATCCCACCAATACCCTGGTGCAGCCGAAGTCGGCATTGACTCGTTAGCTACCGCCCTGATTCGCAAAACGAAAATACGACAACGCGCACGCCCAGGGTAGCACATATACGTAATGCATCGCTAGGTCGGTGGTGTCGACTATACGTGGCACTGATCCCAACAGATTTGGCACCTCGTAAGCCAAGGCCGCTCACTCGCCCAGCTCGCCAGTGAAGGCCACGCTCCTGAGCGGAGGGTGGGCAGGAGCGCCCTGGTCCGCGCCCGTGCCGGTCGCCGGGCCACCGAGCACCACTCACCATCCAGAAGGTGTCCGACTGCGTCCCGAAGCAGTCGGCCTCGTCCTCGCTGTCGGTCTGCAGCTCCTGGGCCTTGAAGCGGCTGAAGGCCCGGCTGGCCCACTCCTCCGACTCGTCCACCAGCTTCGGCTGCCGGGCGCGAGAGCGCAGAGGTCACTCTGGGGCACCAGGCGCGGCCGCGCAGGTCGCGCCGTCAGCCGGACCGGGTCGCGGGCGGCCCCACCAGCCATAGACGCCACATCCGCGCCGCGTCCACACCACACCGCACGCTCAAGCACTCGTCAGTCTCCTTCGTGCCAGCACGCACATCGCGGTTCGTTGCCGCGACGATGACCCGGCGTGCATAGCACAGCCCCCAGGGGCCGGCTAGCAGGCGCGGCCATCCGCTCGCAGCCTGCCCTAGCAGTCACATCGCCCAAGACCGCTGCCGCGCGCTCAGTGCACATCGTGGCTGATGGGGGTCACTCTTCGGCTCCAGCGAGCGGCGGCACTCTGCACCGGCTGAGCGGCGCCGAGTGCGGACACGACCACACCCCAGCCGCAGCCGGCCACCCACCTCCACTGCGACCAGCACCTCGGCGCTGGTCAGACGGCTGAGCGGCTCCACCAGCGCGTCGTCCAACCGACTGCAGGGCGGCGTCAGCAGCAGCTCGTCCCGCAGCAGGTCTGCCAGGTCGCAGGCGGCGGCCAGCACCTGGTGCCGGCCCACCTCCAGGTCTGGACTCGGCCCCAGGTCCACCGCCGCCGCCAGGTCCACCGACAGCAGAGACAATAGGCCGGAGACTGTCGCACAGAGCAGTACGTTAGAAGACGCACCGACAGCAGAGACAACAGACCGGAGACTGCCGCACAGCGCAGCACGTTAGGAGACATACCGACAGCAGGGACAACAGGCCACATACTGCCTGCCCCAGACACTGCCAACAGCCAAGACGGGCAAGCACAGTCAAGCATTTCCTGATGGGAAAATGACTTGCTTTAACACCGAATACGATAGCTACAGAGACAATGTGTAATCTGCGATGTCTCTGATCTGCCACGTGGCCGGAGGGGTCCTCTGAACGGCACAAGCTGCGGACGGTGCGTTCAGAATGCAACTGACCCCACTGCAACCGCCGGCGTGAGAATGTCACGCTGTTGGTCATCGTGACTGG